TCCCTTCTGAATGACAAATATTCGGCTCGGTTAAAGCATATTGGCTGTCTTCCATCAGTAAAAGTAAATCATATCCATAGCCCCCAATTCTTCATTTGGCAAGCATCTGACTGCTAACGGGTTTAGCGAAAATGGGGATAAAATTGGCTAATTCACAAACAAGACTGGTGCTTTTTGTTATAAATTGTTCTCCTTATGCCTCCCCTCTTCTACGCCATTACTTTCGCCGATAAGTTAGTGCAATTGCTTTGAAGTAAACACTTCAACGTGTAACTCTTTAACAAAGTAAACGTTTGAACAAGTTCCTTTTGATGCCTAATCTGACCTTTTGAATGCATGTATTACTACAATTATAAGCAGTTTTTAAAGAAACCACCCATGTTAATAAGTGAAAGTTGAACCTAACAACCAGATCATTAAAAGACGTTCTTGGTTAAAATTATATATTTAAACACAAATCTTTCAGTGACAAAAATGGGTCGAGAAGGGCGGTAGGCCTCCTTTTCACCCTACATTGCAGATCAAATGGATGAATTAAGAATGAGAATTAATTAAGGCGTTTAATTAAAAGCGCATCATATTTTAACGCCAAAATATTTTAAAATGGCGAATATGAAGGGTAGCAAAATGTAGCAATTCTACTGAAGTCCTTTTCTAAAATATGGCTGCATTTCCTGACGAGCGAAGATTTTCGTACACCTAAGTAGGTGAGTACTTCTACATGATGAAACTCTGGGTAAGCCCTGAAGACGTAATAAGGCATCCAACCTGCGAAGCAAAAAGTCATGGCGACCCTTCTGCTTGGACCGTCGTGAACCATTAATCGTGGGTGGTACAGACGTAGTTGGCATTGTTTAATTCCGCATCATCTACGAGGCAAATTGCGTAGAAAAGTGTTTCATTCAGGATATTTTTCCGCATGAGGTCTATTCTGTGCGTCAGCCTCTTTTTGGAGAAAGAAGGTCAGGAGGAGGGTAGGTGCAATGCCTCCAGATTACACTATAAAGCGCTTTTTCAATAGCAAAAAAGGGCCGTTATCTAAACATTAGTTTAAAGTAAATTTATTTTAGCATGGAAAGACTAAATATTGAAGGGGAACAAAAATCATTGAATATTTTATTCACCTAAATAGTTTTTATGTGTTGATTACCTGACCTTAGGTGATCATAAGTCCTAAAAGAGGATAAAATTACACCTCAGCGGTAATCTACATAGCTAATGGTGTTCATGATTTATGACATAGTAGGAATGGAAAAGACCTTTTTTGAGGACAAACTTTAACATCTAGGGGAATCAAATGCAGTGGCATTTAATACTACCGAATTTCACATCCTGTGGCTTATTGACCCTCCAAATTCCCATCTTCACTCTATAACAGTGACGTTGCTTTTTTTCCCGCATCCTCATACATTCTCACTACAAACGACTCTTGTGCGTCATCAAAATGAAAGAAAATCTCCATTCACTTATTCGCGTTCTTTTTTGTTCCTTGGGATAACTTCCTAAATTTACAGAACTCTAATTTTACAAACCTTCCTTTTAGCACTTAAAAAATGATTTGGTGACATTTGTATTTTCATACTTGATCTGTCAACAATGGTCCCTCTAATTTTGCATTTGGTGGAACACATCCTGAGTACTCAACAGGCAAAGAGATAGAATTTTGTATTTTATGTCTAAATTTAAGACCCGCAACAAAGCACCAGGATTTTAGCATTGCCCAGCCATTGGTTTGGAGTGCTTTACTTTGCTTCGTTCTCATTCTACCAGTTAGTCTTATGTCCCTAACCTGATCACATGAGCATAATTCTGGTTACCCATATTAAATGCAACTTTTTCAAAGGTATGACCTTTGCATTTATGCTTTAATGGCAAACAGCCGTCAGAGCATTTTTGTAATACTTCGCCTATTTTTTATTGCTAATATTTATTCAATTAATTGGCGCTTCATGTGTCTACTGTTCACAGGAAAACGCGTAGTCGGTTACACCGAAACATGAAATTTTAGGTCTTGGAGTTGCGTACGCACACCCTTATACAAAAACTTGAGGCAGAAAGTGAGAAGGAAATTGACCACCACCAATTGAATGCTTCATTTTTAATGTGACATCAGTACTACCAAACTGACTAATGTAACTGCTGCTTGAGAAGTACCTTATTGTTTCCAACTCAACCGATCTACTTACAACATACTACGTGGCACAATTTCTTATCACAAAGTAGTCCAGTGAGCACAGGTCATTTTTTTCCAGTATCTGACCCAGACACTGAGGCTATGGCACCACTTTTGTATGATGCCAGTAACTCAAGTACTTCATTTGTTTGTTTGAGATTTCTCGAAAATTTCCGATTTTTTGACATTTTCATCCAAATTCTACTTTAAACAGGATATAAAAGCTTATAAAAGCAGTGTTTTAGGATACGATAAAGTTGTTTTCAGCCAGCTCTTAGCCTCGTTACCTAGGTTATACCTTGTCTCCATTGTTTTCCCCCTTTCTAAGGTTTATCTTTAGACAAAGTTGGTTTTTTGAGAGGCTAGTTTTACAACTATTCATATACAAATAATCCATTGCGCAGTTTTTAAGTAATTACTGTTCAGTGAAAACTAGCCAAATGTCTGGCATCTTTCTGATTTCATAAAAAATTACTGCACCGTGTTATCAACCCACCATTCCATATACTTTATAATTTACAAACAGTACAAAAAAAATCACAGATGTAAATGTCCCACCTAAACGAGGTTGGTAATGGCATAGATGAATGCATCCGATATCAACTTTTTGCCACTAAAGAAGGAAGAACCATTTTGTGAAGAGGAGGTTGATAACAAAGCTACATTAATGAAAACAATCCATTCATGGAAATTTCGCCCTTGTTCTTGTGATTCGTAGGCCTGAGGGCAGTCCTACTGCCAGTCAAGGCCACGGGTGAAGTCATGCCCACGTCTTCTGCAGACCAGTGGGAAAAAGAAAATTCGGTCGTTCATTCAGTTGCTTGGATTCACGTGATGTTCCTACTAATTTTTGTTTTAGCCTTAGGAAGCCTAAAGTTAGTTTTAGCATTTTCCACTAAGGAAGATTCGCCAATTACGTCACTGAATGTGATGCATTTAAGAGGCCAAAATTTCACATGCAAACGTAATTGTATCATTTTGTTAATTTTATGCTCGCAGAACTGCTGCAAAGCCTATAGTTTTTGTAAATAAATTTCATTGGTATGATGAGGCTATTTATTTACCCTAAAATACTTTAATCCACTGAGTACTTTTCCTTGTTTAACCTATTCAAATTTGGCATACATAGACAATGATTTGTAGAATGGATCAGTTTTCATGCATAAATTCGCATGGATCTACAAATTCAAAAGTCGTTGCTAAATAAAGCACAAACAGTGACAACCACAATAGCAATCATGCTCACGGCATGGTTCTACATTTTCAGTGTTAGAGAAATGTTTTTGATGCAAGACACTTAGAAATGGCTTTACAGGCAGTCAGTGGCTGTGAGAAAATAAGGAGGAGTCCTAAATTAGAAGATAGTTTGCTCCTCAAATAAATATAGTGGAGTTTGTAGCTAATGCATCAAAATAAAACATTTATCTTAGTTAGCCAAACCGGAAATTTTTAAAGTTTACCACTTCCTAGGATTCTAAAAAGATATGAAAATCTGAGTTGTATTGACATAAATGCAAACTACTCGTTTTTAATCAATGAAAACTTTTGCAAAAATTATGTATTATTATCAAGAAAATGCATCCGGTATGGATGTAGTGGGCAATGACAAGACCGAGTCTTCTCTGAAGCCGCTGTAAGGTGTATGCCTCTACAGAGACCTTTAGTATAAGCACTTATTGCACCGGAATGGTGATAGTAAATGTAGTGATTGAAGAGTCCGTGTTGTTAGGTAGGAAAATTAAGTAACTGTTGTTTGCTTATGGTATTACTGTCATAGCTGCTGTTTAATTTTCGGAATGAATCTTCTAACATAGGATTCTGAAGAATTCAAAGCAGCAAGCCTGGGTATTGTCACGTCTATTGCAGGTTTGGTTATTCTCTCCAAAATCGTACAAAAGAGCCAATTCTTACCAAAACAATCACTTTTCATACTTAATTATGAATAGTTGCACAATTTTTGTGTCTCCACTTTATGATCTACGTCGCTTAACTCAATTTTGACCCATGATATTACTTTGTCATCACCACAGAGGAGATGCTTTCGACGCAGGACAGAAGAAACTAATTTTTAACAAAATAGAATACATTAAAACTTAAGGGCTAGGCAATGCACATAAGATTGCTTGGGTTAAAACTCGATCCAAAGGTGGACACACTTTGCAAAGGCTTTATCCTTACGCAATGGATCCGAATTAATACCATCGTACCTAATCATTCTCCTTTTAGGCCGTTCGCTTGGGCTTCCTAGATTTCGACAATTTCGACCTGGAAGACTACGAGTATAATGAAGTGGGTTTTCCACAACATCATCCTAACTAAATGTTCATTTTACTCATCCACGGCAATCTTTTCATGTTTTTACAGAAAGTAGAAAATGGTGATCTTAGCTGGATTGTACCGAATAAATTCATCGCATTCTCTGGGCCTCATACACGAACAATGATTGATAATGGTAAGGCTTCTTATATATGGTCCAAATCGTGTGAGAGGTTTTACAACTTACTTTACTTGCCAAAGAACAATGCTCCTAACGCGGTTTGTTTGAGTCACATGTACGAGTCCTCCCAGTTCAATCTAACCACTGCTCATCAGGGAGCTCCTCTGAACTTGTCACAAAAGATCTTATGATACCTTAAATAGAAAAGCATTTTCAATGGTTTTTTAACTACAGTTATTTATGATCTGATTTTGGAGTTTTTAATCAGTGCATGAACTTTTGAAAACCTTATTTGGTTATTTTTAATAAAACAGCTTATTGACAAATTTCCTTACAATTTATTGCTATTTTTTTCTAAGAGTTATCTAGTAAGAAACATTTTGTAGCCACATGAAACCGGGTTTGGCAGAAGTAAACAGGCCTGCTTCCTCTCATTCATTCCGCTCATGTGATCTGATTCCAGGCTATCTTATGCACGCACCAGAGTTTTATCTGCCGTACTTTCGAAAGAACAATGTCACCAACGTGATTCGTCTGAATCAGAAGATGTACGAGTCAAATCGATTCACTCGAGCCGGTATCGCTCATCACGATCTCTTCTTTCCTGATGGTACTGTACCCACCAAGGCCATTACTCTGCAATTTCTTGACATATGCGAAAGTGCTCCGGGAGCCATCGCTGTTCATTGCAAAGGTAATGTAGTCTTTAAATTGTGCAGAGGTTTTGAATGGCTGGAGTACGTATTTTGGCAGTTATTAATCCCCCAAACGTCGTGCCATTTCTGAAATATAGATTTTAGGTTTTATGGTGTAGTGATAAAGTGCAGCATCAGCTTTAAAATGGCTTAACTTAAAGGCATTGTAGACTTATGCAACAATGTCAGCTTTTCGCTCCTAAAGGAACATTTCTCTTAGTCCTAAAATGCCAGTTTTCTAAGACAAGGAAAGCATATTTACAAAAGAATGGGATGTAGCAAAGTTGAGGCGTTTTTAAATTATGCGCGATTAGCATTCCTTCAGGAATAAACGGAACCTGGTCGATGAAGATTTTGTCAATCTTTCTTGACTGCAATGATTGAACGAAAGATTTTGCAAACAGCTTCGAATTTCAAAAACCCAAAGTTTTTTCCAATAACTTACTGCCTTAGAAGTGAAGGAAACATCATCATAGCACAAAAAATTCATTCCTTTTTGTGAACTTTTGCAATATTTCCTACGCCGTTTATCAGATTAGTCTATTTGTGTCTAGGTTAGCTTTCGTAGGTGTCAAACCAGCTTTGGGTATTCGAAACAATTTTTTTACCAAAGCTTTAAAAAGCGGGGACATTTGGAGCCTTGTTTTTATCTATTCCTGTATCATTTGAAGAAAACTACTTTCTCCCACCGAGTCCACTGCTTTGTCGTTACCCCTTTAAGGTTTATTAAACGCGATGGTAACCTTGGAACATTTTTTTGGAAATAGGCAGGTAATTCGTCATTCCTGACTACTTTAAAGCGTCAACATTTATCTGATCTTTTGATTTAGAAATAACTAAAGTAGACAACGGACAAAGGCTCCTTTTAAAAAAATTTGGTTGGTCAAAAAAGCCGAGCGCGACTATGAACTGGGTTTTTCAATAAACTTTATTATATATTTGAGGCTAGGCGGGGCTTCTGTACCACTTAATATTTTTTACTAGAGAAAACTCCTGAGCGCTGAGCATCTATTAAAACCGCTTAAAATGCACCTGAAAAGGTAGAAATGGCCTAGATTAAGCTTTTAACATATTCTACAATGTCAAAGTTTGGCAAGTCGCACCCTATTTTTTTTCGGGAACATTTTCATCAATGCAAAGTTCTGGAGGTCTAAGAACTGGGAAATCGAAAGCTGCGATTTCATCCAAGTTACTTTTATATGTTTACTACCAAGCAAAGCGACAGACATATTAAATGCATGCACGACATAGGATTCTATAAATACGCTCATTAAGTAGGCGGTACAAGGCAGCCAAAAGGGTTTTAGACACTGATCGTAGGATATAAGTCCCAAGTACATAAACTATGGTCGATTAAAACGAACATGAAATATCCAGTTTAGAATGACTTAATACTATCAATTCGTAGAAAAAATGGGCACTGATGTACCTAGGTAATACCACTGTATAAGAATAGGGAACGTAAACTTTGAGAAAACCGCAAAATTAAGAATTTTTTGTTTGGAACTGCCTCACTCGATCTGAACTTCTGCCGCACTATTGGCGATATTCACAGCATCTTAAAAGTCTCATTTAGAAAGACTTTTCTAAAAAGATGGTGGACTTGAGTCCAGGTTACTTTAAACGACTGATTTTAAAGTTAGCATAAAATTCAATTAATGAGGTACTTATTCTATCCAAATTTGAGGAATCTAGCTTCAAAACTACCCTAAGATGAAGTGTGACTCTACTTAAGTGGGAATATGTGGAGGGTCTTACCTGCAGCCTTGCTTTTTTAAAAAAAATTAAGAACATTAAGTCAGATGTGCCATCATAGACTCGTAAATTACTACCCGACTTCCCTTAGCTGTACTTTAAAACGCTCATTGCATGTGCATTTCTTTGCGAGTGCGAGGTTAAGGTTAGGTGGAAGGGTTTAAGGGCATTTTGAAATCGGTGAACTTTCCTGGCATATTAGCGATTCAGCTTTTTACTATTCTAGATTCTATCTACATCTAAATTGATTAAATACTTTTATAATGCTTTGTCTGTAATCTCTAACACAGGAAGGTCCTTGATCTCCTCAAGCATTCTCAGTTTGTGTGACCACTTCTTTGGAGTAGCATTGTCAAGTTTGGAAGTGAATTGCTGCCTCGTCTGTCATCGCCTTTTAGTTGGTCTAACTGGTGGGATAAATTTTGGGCAAGATTTGAAGGAAGCAGTTTGGGCCATTAATGAGTCCTTTGTTTATCCCAGTGCTAATAATGATGTTGGAAATTAACCACCTTATGGAATGGGATAAGTTGATTACATTAAAGGTAGGTAAGGTTGGATCTGAAGCAGATTTTAAAGAGATCATTACGTTAATACTATGTGGGTAAAACGAGTGAAATGTAAAGGAAAGAAATGAGATAGCATTACCAATTGAAGTGCATTTTACTTGTGAACTTTGTTTTGAAGTTTAAGGCAAACCCACGTGCATTCGTCCGCTTATATTCGTACTTCGGTGAGGAACTTAGATAATAACAACTGTTGGAAAATATTTTTTACGTATCTTTACCATTTGCTGACGGATTGAAGAGATGTACTTATAAAATGCTAATCACTTCTACGTAAATAATTCTAATCTTGTCTGTTTTAGCAGTCAAAAATTCACTGCTATGTAGGGGGGGTTACTAGTCAATCTAATTTTCTTCTTCAAAAAAAGAACCACATAGAAGTGTTGTTTAAACCAAGTTACTTGTTTGGAGTTAAATGCCAAAATTATCTGGAGAGACGGAAGTTTTTGTCAGAGCAACTAAAGCTTAAAGAGGCAATTTAAACCACAGCGTGTTCACCCATGCACAAATATTTGCAGTAACTATACCATTTTGAAAGAGTTGCAAAAAAAAAACAAAAATTTGTCCCTAAACACCCATTCTGAAACTCACAGAAGGAGTGCTGGTTCCGCTTTTATTGTTTTACTAATCTAAACTTTAGCTAATGACCGATTGAAAACCCTAGGATGTAATTTTACCCACAAATTGTTACCATGGGAGAACAATGAAAAATTACCCCAAATTGCATCCAGAAAAAGTGGAAACACTAAACAAACTATAAAAATTAAGCATGCTTTACAATTTACGGGGTGATACTAAAACTTCTTCCCTTCTTTAAAGACCGTGACATCATATGCGGTTTTGGAAAGTAATAAGCTACCTTGAAATGAAGGCAGTAGCAAGCAAAGAAGCGGAATGGGAAGGTGGCGTTGAAAGCATGATCTTTTGCCCAACATGATAAAATTTTTCCCTTACAAATTTATCTGTGGGCGATATTGGAGATGTAGACGTCTGAGGAAGCCTAAATGTATGTAAAACCTCGAGGAGGGAGAAAATTTGAAACTGCCAATAAGAGAAGAATGGGTGTTAACGAGTCTGTCAAAAGGCACCACGAGGGTATTAGATATCCTCACACTAATTCACCGCAGCCATAAGATCGTTTGAAATTTCCAAACACTTTTTTTAACATGATCTGGCATCTTTTGATGTAAAGTTATTGAAAACATCCAAGGGGAAGTACAATTTCTTCGAAGTGATTAGCTTAAATTTCAGTGACTATTTTGCCTATTTTGTGTCCTTTTTTCTCACTGAAAAATTGAGCAATTTTTGCCGAGTTCCTCTGGGGATGGAATTAGTTTTTAGCACTTTAGCTATCAAACTTGATAGCTTTAAGCTCTTTTTACAAGGTGCTATTGTTTTAGGTAACAACAAGTCCAATGTGAGGAGCTCATCCCGCTATTTTTTTTGCCTTTAATACGCAAGCCCTTCTTAGCTAGTCTTAATACTGTAAAAAATTCAGTCATGTGAAAGTTTTTCACGAAACGTTTATGCATTTGGGTTGAATACAACCATTTTGGAGATTATTAAATCCGCTCTGTTCGCCTATAAAATTTCTACGGAATCTTATCAGCACAGCATCAAGAGCGTATGGCGTTCACTAGCTGTAGGGTAGTAGGACGCTGTTTCTTTCTCCCCAATTGCACTTACCGTACACAGGCCAAAGTCTCAAATATTTTCTAATGAAATAGGAGAAGACTTAATGAGAAAATCAGATGAGCTTGAAGAATGCGTCCCTTAAGTTGCTTCTAGGGATTTTCTGCGAGTATTTTGGTCTACTGTTTGCAGTCGTAAAAACAGTGGAACAACCCTAAGACATCTTTTCGATTTAACAAAAGTGGTAACGTATAAAGGCACTTTTACTAGCTTATTTTTGACGTAGTCATAAAAATGGCTGCAAAATGTTCATAAATCTACCACTTTTTAAGTTCTCAAAATAGCCAGATCGGTTATTGTATTATTACGACCACTTTCCAAATGCAACCGAATGCATCTTGTTTGCAGTGAAAGTTCATTTTGGGGAATTCGATCATAACCTACTTCTTCTAGACTCTATTTTTGTGATTCCAAATCCATGTATATAGGTGTAGAGGTGCGCCAGAGGTTTTTAGTTTTACCTACCGGTCAGTTATTCTATTTTTAACATTCCATGTACCAAAATTCGTGTACAAATTCGAGAGCAAACAGCGTTCTTATAAACAAATAATAAAACCTGGCCATGAGGAAATTTTAAAATACCAAATTAAAGGTGCTTTACCGTTTAAATAAGGCTCTATGAAGTGCAGTTGGATAAAATTAAAAAAGAGGGAGTCTACAAACTTGTAGAAGTTTGACAGCTTCTCATTGCTGCAGCTAATGAACAATGTTTGGCTCAGAAATCGAGTAATGTGAGACGACACAAATCAGCGCAGAATGTTCACAAAGGATTTTAAATTATTTTGTTCTGGTATTAAATTCAATCATTCGAGCGTGATAACGAAATCCGTCCTAAGTAATTTTGTGTGCTCCTTCAGCTGGTCTGGGTCGAACGGGAACATTGATAGGTTGCTACCTGATGAGGCATTACCATTTTACGGCACCCGAGGCAATAGCATGGATCCGTATCTGCCGACCAGGTTCCATAATCGGTCAGCAGCAAAATTGGTTAGAGGAGCAACAAGCTTGGTGTTGGGAGGAGGGTCGACGTGAGCGTCGTGAGAAATCCCCCTCACCATTGCCATCACGTCGTAGGAAGGACTTGGTCGACGCGGACATCTCTGTAAATCATCTTTCCCGATCCACTGGCAAAATCATTTACATCAACACAGATCCATTGAAACCACCGACGCAAGTACGAGATGACCCAATGTTGAGGTGAGTCAACAGGCGTTGATTTAAGAGGAATTGAGCTGAATAAATCAAGATACCGCCGTTAGCATCAACAGATACTTTGCCTCGGTTGATATGTTCGATATCAGCGCCACGTATATGCGATGACCTGATTTTCATATTTGTGCCTGAATATGATATATGACATGTCTAATTAATAGCAAATGCTTGCCGTAAAGAATATAAAAAAATCTGACTATTTAAGGAAAAATAATGACTGGTTTTTGGAGCGTGGAAAAATCTTTGTAACGCAAAAAAATTCTTTTTTTAGCTTCAACCTTTGCCATTACGCAACCGACAGGTATCTGACCAATTTTAAAACTAAGTTGTTTGTAGTAGGAAGAATTAGATCTTTGGTAGGACTGCAGTCCAGGAGACTATTTAATCAAATTAGTAGGTTAAAATGGGATATCTATGGCATCCTCATTCCATATGTACAAAACATACCTCCTCGCCTTTTAGCTACTCCGATGATTTGGTAGTAGGGTGAAAGTTAGTTGTATTTCCACCTTCGTATCGAAGTGTCAGCAATGGATTTAGAGATGACATTATTTTTCCGAGATTGGACTCCTTTGTCATTCTCCTTTCTTTCCACAACATCTCGCTTGCTTACGAAAGGACTTGTTTTCAATGGCATAATGCAGAGCTCATTTAGGGATTCAGTAGTGGGAAAAAGAACGCATAGAAAACACATATACGAAGCATCAAACGCATAGCTGCAACTTACTTTAAGCACTCAAACAAATAGAAAACCGCTCTTTATTTGGCTTTTAGCAAAACAGCCTTGTCCCTTTTACTTTATAATCTCCCAATTTCTGCTACGCTTGACAATAAATTCATGAGTGCAGTAAAGCAGAACGTCTCTTTTTACCCGTCCAAATTTTTAAATTACTAAAAATGCCCTCAATCACTCCTTTTTTATCCTCGACATGTAATTATAAATGGAGCATTCCATACACATAATGTACAAATCCGTGAGAAAATTTCAGCATGGTAGATGATTTACTTTGTGTTTAATTATTACAGCATCGTGCAACTTTGCAAACTCATAACCCTAAACTTGTTTTTATCCTAGTGCACTAATCCGAAAGGACTCAATGTTTCCCCCATCATAAACTAGCTGAGTAATAAAAGAAATGTATTTAAAAGTGCCCTCAAAGGTATCACAATCACATTTTTCCAGTATTCCCAGCTTGTTTATCTCTTTCTAGCGTTTTAAATAAGAAATGGGATCATTCTGTTAGAAACTTAAAAAATCTCCTACTTTTCAGATCAAACAATATTTTTCCCATTTTTCGACCCAAAATGGCTTTGGATTAAGATTTAAGTCCTTTTTTTCCACCAAAAATGGATGAAAAAGGGGTAATCGGCCGCAGTTTTAAGTATTAACCATAAGTCACTGTAGCCGCTTATGGAGGATGACGAAGTAGACATTTTTAGAAAAAAATAAATAAATAATTATTAGTTAGGAGGTGGTGACTTGTAATGGCTGCAAAAAAGACGGCAAAATATGAAATGAAATGTTCAAGTAAATGAATGACTTCAATATTTACCCTAGCCGAGAAGTTGTTATGACTTAAACACGCTAGTGTACGCTACCATCCTCATTGAATTTGCAAATATTTTTACCCAAATATCTAGACTTTATTGTGAAAATTCCTCAGCATAATCACTTTGTTTGTTCTCAAGTTCGCAGTATTTTTACACCATTAAAAATTCTGATGCATTGATTAAAAATTCCACTGCACATTATGACAGTGACTTGACATAAAATACGGAGTTTATTTTTTTCCTAAATCTATGTTTGTGGTATTTAACTTCCTGCCATTCGTATTGACAAGAGGTGTTTTGTGTGGGTATTTCGAACGTTGGTAGATCCATGAAATGTTCTTTTTCTGAATGACTTATACCGTGACGGCCTGACCACTTGTAACTAGTGAAAATAAGAAGCAATTAAACTGTTTTTCATCTGTAACGGCTCATGTATTTTTTAATTCGATTTCGTTATTTACGAACAGATCTCGCCTTAAATCAATCCAGCATGTGGGGTGGGTTTCATAGGTGTCTCAAGGATAAGTCGACCCTAAGGTATTTTTAAAGGAAGAGCAGGCAACATGGGGAAAGTTTTAGGATCATTGAAGTGGGTATTTGTCTGAGTACCGTTGGCCATGATACCATTTGTTCCGTTCGATAATGATGACCTTGCATTATGCACAAAAGTATCTTCGAACAACCACTTTTGAAACGGACAAAATCAATTTGCCTTGCTTCAACAATTCTTTCCAATTGATTTAGGTGCAAACGAATTGTTTAAATAACCTCGTGATAGATGACTAGAAATTCCTAGCACTTCAATCTTGAGTTACTGTGTCCATTGTAATACGTAATCTCCCATGAGCAAACAAGAAGGATCCTTCTAAACGCGATGTATCCATCTTTGAGTGACTAATCACCTGCGTACAATCAGGTGCAAATCAGGCCCGAGAAGTACATTATGTCATCAAATCCTCTGCAAATTTAAATGGTGTAGACTAGACAAATTTGAATCGCGTTGAACTTCATTCATCTTTTATGATTTGCAGATTTGGAATAATAGTGAAGACAATAGGAAGTAAAAATGGAGTACTTTTCCTAGAAATCCGTGCATACCTACGCTTTATGGTGCACACAAGTGATCGCATTTTAGAGGTTCCTATAAATAACTACTGCATGAACTCTTTCTTAGCATTTCTTTGGCCACAGCACCTATGATTGTGTACCTGAAACCAGGGAACTCATAAATTTTCTTTAAAAAAGATTAGAGGAAATACTCGAATGTCACCGCGATTTGATACACAGCGATAAGTATGTAAATATGCGTGTTTGAGGCACTTTAGATTACTGGCTCTTAAAGCACTGATCTATTTATTGTTCTTTTCACACAACCCTGCAGATTAGTGAAAAGACAAGGGTTGTGCAAATAATTCCTACGTGCTTGCCTTCACTTCACCAAGTTTCGTCTATTCCTTCAAGTCAGAAGTCACCCTTAATGGTTTATTTTTTCTCAAATAGACTTGCTGCGTTAGACAGTGGGGGTGATACCTCACAGACACCTCTTTCTACAACTTCTTCAATGAATGAAGGGGACCAAGTAGAGGTTTTGATCAACTCCCGACCAAGAGTCTATCATCACAAAGTTCAGATATCCGGTCGTTCTCAATCACCTCCTGCTTACGGAACTGGTGGCGAGGAGTCGAATGACAGCAATGAACCGCGCTATTCATCGGGACCATCCAAGGAGGTTAATGGCACGCGAATGGGTCTTGGTATGGCGTTCAGTCATTGTGAGTTCTTTATTTTTCCAGTAGGAGAAATTTAATTTGTTTAGAGGGAAGGGTGTAGCGATAGGTCGCATGACGAATTCTAGGTGACGTAAACAACTATTCACGTGGGCAGGCCCAAATTTAATAAGTAGGTGAGGGCATAGTACCAATGTTGTTCAAAAAGAAATTTAAAATATGTAAAAGGGACAAATGAAGCAAAATTTTTAGGAATGATGCCGAGGCATTTTATTTGTGTGTTTAACAAATTAATGTTCACTGTGCAATCGATGTCAAAAATACCCTTAAAAATATCTGCATATTCCTTTTTAGTATGTATTAAACAAAAGATATGAAAAAGTTGTCTTTTTTCTGGAGCAGTCACGCATTCTCAAGTTTCAAATGGTACGGTTTCACTTTGCAAAACAAACTATTTAAAAGGTTTGGAAACCCGATTACATAGTTTTACGAAAAAGAGAAAACTTTTCAAAATTTATAATACTTAAAAAATAGTTTGCTGATGATAACTTTCTTTTAGATCAGGAATGAATCCGTAATGGCATCGTATTTTGGTTCAAAGCTAGATGAGACTTTTAAACAATTAAGCGAAAAATTATTTTCTGCATTTCATAACCTGTCCCTTACTGCAAGGTCAATTTTTTCTGTAGTCAATCAGCACCTCTTTGCATTTGACATATAGTCAACCCTCACTGAATGGCAAAAGAACTGTCCCACAAGTACACAAATGACCACGCAAATTGCGCTCACGTGGAAGATAAAGCTTTCTGTCACACTCTTTAACTAGGTGTACTGAAAGCCAAAAATCACGTTTTCATTAGTGTTATCAGAGCTGGCTATGAGTTGGTTCCGCATTTCATTGTCCAGTTAGAGGATTATAACAACTAAGAGGTCTCAGGCACTTGAAACAATAAAAGAGCGCCTTATCCACTCGCTCACTGCAAGGTTGTAAACATGTAGGTAACAAAGAAGAGCATAAACACCAGTACCTCGAAGCTTACTTCCAGTAGTTGATCTACCATCATGAAAATGTTTATAGGACTCTGGGAAAAATATACTCTAGTAAAGAAGACTAAGCACAAACTAGTAATTTTGATTTTTTTTTCACTTTTGTCTACACCTTGGCTAATGCGGCCTTACGCTGGAACGTTTACATTACTTGAAGCGGAAAATGTAAGAAAGATCAATGGGCACCTTGGCATTAGACTTATTGGCATGTGACAAAAATTCCTTAGTAATGCCTAGCTTGACTGTCATAAACTCAAATGGGTTATTGTTTTTGTCACGCTAATTAAATTACTTGGGTTGCCTGGCAAATTGATTAAAGGACTGTAAGAAGAGGTTTTGGGTGCCCCTCTTTACATACCATTTCATGAAGATTGCGCTATAAAAGGTTATGATTATATCCAAATCAAATTCTCTATGAATAAGCGAAGGAATGTTTTAATTTTTTCGCAATTCCACCACAGAGTATAGCTTTAACAGAATAAGGGATTGCGCAATTTAGCTTACTTTGGCCTCGGCTGATTTTTCATCCAAAATGTGCTTTTTTGGAAGTCGCTATACCTTTCAATAAAATTCATGAAATGAACTCTAGTTAAGTCCATTAAAACACAACAATTTTTGTAACCTTCAGTGTCACCGATTCTCCTTAAATCCAGTGTTTTTTCATAGCATGATAAGTTAGATCTCTTGTTATTTGCTAATGCTGCACACTTTCAAAATGCTTTCAAAGGCCACAGCATCTCCTCTTAATCCCTAATAGCTTTCATTTCCCAACTTCTTTAAAGAGGTTCGGCAAAATCACAAGTCTGTTTGAACTTCGCGTCAAATGCCGTCATTTGTGCATAGTGGCATTTGCGACGGTATAGAAATGCCACAGTTATGGTGTCACAAAGTATAGATGATTCACTTAAGGGGGTTGTTATTTAACTAAGGACATATTGCAATGCTGAACAAGGTTAGATTCCGCCAAATCGTGACAATTTCCGACAAAAGTAAACGTGTAAAGTAAATTTTTCACTTAGCGGTGAATGCGTTGTGGTCCATGGGACTTTGCTGCAAAAAGCTTATTCAGCTATTGGTCAATTTCCGGGAAACAGTTCCTGTTGATTGAATCGGACTAGGTAACGACTAAAATAATCTTGTTCTAATTTCTTCCCAACAAGTACATATTCAAAATTACCTCCTTTTTTCCTGTATTTAAATAAGCCTTAAAATTGACCTGAAGGGACTTCTTCGTCAACTGACAGTGTCCTAGAATTAGAGGATTATTTGATAGTTTGTGGGTTCGCAATTAATAAAGGGTTTCTTATTTTCTGTAATACATTTAAAGGTGACGATTTGGTTGTTTTTAAGTTTTGCTTGGCCTTTCTTGTGGCTTGAATTAAGTAATTGTGTCACTTACGTGTTCAAAAGGCAGACATACCTTAATTTAATTTTTTGAGACATCTTACAATTTTCGACAAAAATAAAAAACTTTGTTTTCCACTTACATTAGGTCGATTAATATGGTCTCGATAATAAAAAAAATTTATTGCATCCTTTTGGTCTAGATATCTACGCTATATTCCCAAAGTCAGCCTTCCCGATAGTTAAAGCACCTGCGTGTGCAATCTGGGAAACATACAGGCATTTCTCTTTGCCTAGTTATGCAGAATTACCATATTATTTTATTTTGGTGATATGACTAGGGCATTTTTACGTATAAGCGCACAAATACGGATAAGTGCAGAGGTGCCTGCTTGAGGACATCAATGCACTCTTGACCTAAATCACCTAGGTCGAAGCTAATTGTCCCCTAGAAGCTGAATCCACTCCTTTTGAAATGTACGGAACGAATAATTATTAACAGTGAAATAATTTACGAAAGTGCCGCCTTTTTAGTTATCCATTAAGGTTACAAATCTTTACTATCTGGTTCACAACATTCACATCTGATTTGAAAGAGGTCGTTTGCATTTTGCCATCTCTGCATCCCTATTCAAACACTGAGTGTTACATCTAAAACCTTTACTAACCGAATTCCTGTGAATCTTTTGTATTCAAGGAAGAAAATTAATTGGGGGGTAATGTCTTTTGATTTTAATTAAATAGAAATAAGGTATGCCGAGGTGCGCGAAACATTATTTTGCTACAATGTCTAAAAGTAGCCAAATTTAAGTTTTACCCCGGTATGTGGTGACTTTCTTCGACTGTATTTGACAAACAAACTGAAATTAATATCTCGTTAGGTTAAAAAAATACGTAAAAAGTTGCCATTGACCTCATTTAGCGATGGACCTCTCTCCGAAGCCAAGTACCTACAAAACAACATTTACCCAGGGTGACCAACTGAATCACATCAAAGTTATTCGTATGCAAAATAAACAACGTAAGGATAGTACTGGCAAAGATATCACCATTCATCCCACTACGCCGCACCTCGCTAGCTCTTATCCCCGTGCCAGTCTTTGTGGTGAAGCTGGTGGAGAGAGTGGAAGCGCTTTGGACTTCAGGGAGATCTATAATCTCCATGACGAGGCCACTGAGGATGGGTCGACCACTGCAGAATCTTCAGATGTGGAGGCTTACAACCGATTTTGCTATGAGTCAGAAGGCTCACAGCTACCTTCCACTTTCTATCACAATGCTATGTCTTCTCCACCAAATGGCAGCAAGGATCGAGTTGGAATACTTAGTGGAGACTCTATTCAACCAAGGTACGTACTAGTTGCTTTTCTATGCCTCTGTTGATCTATCATCAGCCGTCCTATCTACCCATCTGCCTAAGTTCTCATTCTATCTACACATATCTTTGTGTACATATATATTTATCCCTACATACATTTGGTCTATCGGTTTGCGTGTCCCTCCACTAGTGTGTCAGCTAATCTACTCGATTTTACTTCACTGAATTAATGTTTCCCTATCTTATCCATCTTTGACTTAAACTTCTTATCCTCTTGCAGTCTTTCTAAACCCATATAGCCTAGACTTCCAACCTGATTATAAGATTGAGTGTCACTTTCGTTTAGTTGACTGGTTCGCTTGCGTTTCTGAGTGCATGACTTTGAGGTGGGACATCCATTCCTCTTTTTATTGTTCTATAAATTTGTACATTTTTTGCCTTTCTCCTAGCTAATTTATTCGGCTGTTCTTTTAAAATGAGCAATTCTTTTTCAAATAGTCGACTTATCATAAAAATTACTTGGTTGTTCTCTTATTCGTTTTTTTATCTTTATATATTCCTTAACCTACTATTTTAATCATTTTTTCTCAGCTAACACTGCAGCATATTTTTTTGGCATACACTGAAATTGTCTACCAAAGAATTTGTATTCGAAGCCACCCTGCATCTTGAGTTACTTCTAAAGACCTTAAGAAGTGATTTTTTAACAAAATAAATGTGGTCTTTAAACATTTTCCATTTTGACTGTGCGCCGACATTAATAAAACGTAACAAACCTACTGAGTCAGTAGTACTTTTAAAGTCTACTGTACAATTTGACCTCTGAGTCATATTTGTCACATAGTTGTTTCGAAATAATTGCATAAACCCTTTTGTGGCTTGTTCCCAGACCTCAATACATTTACCTTCTTTTATTTGCGAAAAAAACTAAACAATATAATACAGAACTCAAGCGTTTTCTTCAAGAAGGGGCACTGATGAGCAGATGCATTTTATTTATTGGAGACTTGTAAAATGAAGTTATAACTTACTGCTGTCTCATCAACATCCATTTGCCTTGAAATGCTGCTTCTATGTCTAAAGTAGAGGTATAAAAATCCGCACCTAACGCTGGCGTAAACTTGCCTTGACGTTTGGATATTTTAAGCTATATCAAGGGAAATGCCCAACCATTAAACGGAAAATGTTTTACACAATAATTTTAACTTTGGTTAGTTAACATTTTAAACACATTTTTCAGCCTTTTGATTTGTTCTTTTTTCCAGTTTTTGTGGGTTAAGTGCTAGAATTTTAGCAACTGAGAAGGTTTTGGACTAACTGTGTTCAGTTAGAAAAAGCCATCCTATGTTCTTAAATCCCCATTGGCTTAGCATTAGCAAAACGGGGAACTCGTGAAACATTTCATAAAGTATTTACCCATTTTTTTAGGTAAAATAATAAATTTTACTGTCAGAGGTTATTAAAACACCATTTTTAAGCAGTAAAGCTGCCTGCCTTTTATTAGTGGTCGTGATTCCTTTATTTCGGTGTAAACTTTTTCATAGCTTCTAAAAATATGTTGGATCAAAAGCCGTCTAATTCACAGTTTTCACCTTACAATCGACCAAAAACTTGTTTTACCCCATTTTAAAAATCCTTTGATATTTCAAAAATTTAAAGGTCGAGTTCAATCCTTTGTTTTGTAGTTCATCCATCACAACTATAAAACCAATTTGGCCGAGAAACAACTGCGAATAATCTATTTTTTGTAGAGGTTTTCGAAAAATACTTTTTGGGTGGGGGATTATGTGCTTAAAGTTAATTTTTGAGTACTACACTGCACGATAGTAATGTTGCTTCTGTTGATCGTACCCATTTTCCAACATACTCTATGTGACTATATCTCAAAGCATTGGTTTCTCAATATTATCTAGCTTCTGTTTTATTGTTTTTCACCTTTTTCAGTATGAGTGCCACATCAAGCTCACGCACTAGCCTAAGCAGTACCTATCCACGCACCCTGACGCCAATAAACCTTCCACCCACTGCGGTTGCAGCTGGAACGCCCCCAGAGAACAACATTCGTGCTCTTCGAGCTAGAGGAATGACCACACGAGGCTATGAGAATCACCGTGAAACA